TTAAGATCTTGGAGCAAGAGTTGTCTGTGCAGCCAACAACAACAATGACTAAGGTATAGAGATACTGGAGAAAGTTGCCATCCCATTCATATACAGCATGCCCCCACAGCTACAATGCTACTGCTAGCATTTAAAGCCCCTATAAACTTGAATCAAAATTTCAACTTTTTCTCTGTATCATTAAATATTGTAGCATCCCTCAGTAATCAGGGCTGTGGCCAACGGCAAAAATAACAAACCTAACTGGTATAGAGTGTAACCTCCGCACCAACATCTGACTTCAACTCCCTTAGACTGTTACCGACTCACCGACTAGCAAGAACAACAACCCCAGTCCTCCTCACCCTCTGCCAATCACAGCTACGCCGTCTCACACAAATCACTGTCATAGGTAGCTGCGATCACTGACAGTCTTTACTAAGCGTAACACACATTCACTGACAACCTAGAAAACTCAGTGACTGCATTAACCAGTCCTTTTTACCATAGCTGAACAGTCTTAACACAGTAATACTATAAATTAACATTTAACAACCACCTAGTCCATTACAATATGTGTGCGTGATTAAATAAGCAACAATCAAAGTAAAATTTTGGATAAAAAATATCTTTAGTTATTATGTGTGAAAAGTTTAACATTCACAATCTGCTTCTTCAAAAATCTGTGGCTGTGTCTGAAATCACATCCCTCATTCACTACTTTCTATATAATAGATACACTCAAGACTGAGCAGTAAATTGAGGGCTGGTCATTTTCGCATCTGTAAAATGTTTTGCATTGCATTGTGGGACTGTTAACAGAAAGTAGTGTACATGCCCTGAACAATGCTTTTTTCACTCCAATGTAGAACTTTTGAAGGCACAATATAGTGGATAAATTCACACACTCAGAATTTGGACAGTCAAATAAACTTGTGAACAATAAATGTCTTTATAACCATATAGACTATAGAGTTAATAGGTGAGTGATTTGGGACACAGCCTGTGAGTGTGCTTGATCAGATTTGATTGACAGTTGCTTGGCAACATCAGCATACACCAGTGTTTCTCACTTTTCCAGACCGAGGACCACTTGGGGGGTGGGTGGGTGGGTGTTGTATGTGTGTGACTCTCTGCTCAGAAAATATGTGCTCACATGCACCTTATGCACCTAAACCACTCAGCTATGTGGTCATCTCAAATATGTAAAGAGTTTTGATCATCAGGAAACCCTGCGGCTCACACACTGAAAAGCAACAAGTGTTGTTATTTATGTAACATCAGAATATTCACACACATATGAACACTGGCTGGATGTCATGTCAACGCACCACAAGTCTCAATCATGGTGACTAAATTACAACTAAAACTCAACACTTTAACACTTGCCTGTTGTGTTCATTATGTCAGAGGGTTTTTTTGATTTTCTGTTTCTGTAGGTAGGTACATCTTCAAAACATACAAATCCACAATGCCTATGATGTTATTTAGAAAGGACAGCCATGGTCATAATCCTCCGGTACACGATCTTGTCCGTTGTCCGTGTTAGATTGTCAACATAAATAGTAAAACAAGCTGTAAACTGGTGAAGCTACGCGAGTTAGCAGTGTCATAAAACCATCGGTTACAGTGAAGTCCAACTACACAGTAAAACAGTCGATTCATATAGGCCTAATAATGTTTGAATTGGAATTTACATATGAATTGATTTAATATTGAAAACAATACATATACATTACTCTCTAGTTGACTTTGTCGTCACTCCCAGACCTAAATTTAAAACATGATATTTTAACTAATTTACTTGCGGACCACTAGGGGTTGGACCAAACTTTGAGAAAGGCTGGCATACACTCACCACTCATCAGATTCTGATTCAAATGTTGCTCAGTCCATATTGGTGCTCCAGACTTCCACTCCCTATAACAAGAGAGTAGGCTTTCAAAGACTTTACCATGGCTTAAGTACGAATTGTAAGTTTCAGTTTCTACATCTATGATTTACATCCAGCATATGAGGAATATTATGACCTCCAACAATTATTGCTGTTGGATTATTTGTGTGGGATTCAATTTAATTCACTGATGGTCTTATGATGAGGACGTTTCTCCACCTACTGCAGACGAGCATTAAGATCATCATAATAAAACCTGCTGTGCCCTGAGTTAATATGACCAGTCTACAAGGTCAATAACTACTTACCTGCTAAAAACTACTACTAGCTTCCTTGTTAACTGTAACTTGTTAAATGTCATAATGGAGACTTTATTCAATGCAGGCTTCCATCTAGCACAGCTAATTACAGGACAGATTATGGATGTGAATTGTGCTCTGGCTTAACACACTCACATACATTAGTTCAAGTACAGTTCAGTGTGCTTTAGAAACACATAGCAAATGGACTGTGAGGTTAGGAGAGGTTGCACGCGAGCCAGTCCCCAGCAGATATTATTGACAGACTGCTGTGCATCTCTGCTCCAGCTGTGACAATTGGGTAAGCTGTAGGATGCAGGTGGCAAAGATGGATTATTTTTAGGAGACCTAAATAAACAGACACTACTGACTATAGTGCAAGCATGGATTAAGTTTATGCCTGTCGTCATTATTACGCTGTCTGTAGTCATGGTTATGCAAACATGGGCATTTATTTTGTATTTGTTCCGCAAGTGTAAATTTACAGTGTACCTAAGACCATACCTGCATGATTCACTCAGGTAGTTGGCACTAATTAGTTGGTCCAGCTAGGCCCGGAGGATTCTGGAAAACACTATGGAAAGAGGCTTCTTACTTAATCTCTTAAATTACTGCAAGTACAGTGGGTTAAAAGGGTAAAATTCACTCAAATTACAAAAAGGCATATTTTTCCATGTACCTACAATGGGTCTCCAATCACGCAAACAATTTTGGTTTTATTTGCCCAGGTTTTCAGACATCAGTCTCTGAGATTTTCATTGCCAACACAATGGAGGTGAATAATACTTTATCCATGTTGTTCGCAGTATAAATAAGGCACTGAAAAAATAACAGCAACATCTCTTCTCAAAAACCCTAGATGATGCAACTTATGGGCTATTTTTCAGGAAAAAGTTGTTCCAATTTAAAGTGCTTACAACTATTTGAGTTTTTTATAGTAATTTGGGTGAACTGACCCTTGAACACAGAATTTCAGCATTGAAAGGTTTTTTAATACGTTTATTTTAGATATATGGTGAAGTTCTGCTCAGTCTGTGTAACCAGTACCATGCCGATGGCCAGAAACAGGGATGTTGAGTTTCTTTAACCTTTAATAATCGTTGTAACCTTATCTACAGTAATGCTACACAGGACAACTTTTTAGTCAGCATTGACTGAAAAGTTGGGATTGACTATTTTTTTCAGGGCTGACAGCGATACCGATTATCGGTAATGAAGGAGACTGATAACTGATATTTGGAACCGATATGCCAACACAAAGCTTCTGCTGTATAAGTTCACTAACCGTGTCATAATATATATTTTTATTGGTTATCGGTTAAAAAAAAACGATACCGATAATCAGAAAGTGCTGAATATTACCACTGGGCCAATAATCGGTCGATCCCTACTGAAAAGTGTGTTAAGTATTGTGGTAGCACACCACAAACTCAAAGTTGCCACAAAGATGTGCACAAAAGTGAGGTATTGAAAGTGTTGCCTGTTTACCCCAATCTCATGTAAAACTAGTACTCAGTTCAGGTAAATGTCAATCTTTTCACCTCTAACACAGAAAAATCCACCAGAGCAGCCTCTGCTGAAGTAAGCAAAACCATCTCAGAAACCTTGCCCTATACCAAAAATAATACACCCCAAAACAAAAAAAAATAAATTCCAACAAAAAAAGGTGTGGTGGCATTTAAATTAATTGGACAGCACAATCATTTTTTGTACCATTAAGATAGGGTTATTACTTCTGTAGTGCAAGATTTCTGTGAGAATATGTTGGACTGTTGCAAGGATCACTGCCATCAAACTGACTTATCCTCATACCCTCAATAGACCCTTTCCATCAGCACATACAGCTGTAACTAATAACATAGCATAATAGCATAATATTCAGCTGTGTAAGTTACATCGCACAGGTAATTTGACTCACTGTCATGGCTGACTGGTACGCCTACACCTAGATGGAACTAAGCCATTGTTAATGTTATTGGTTACTGTGCTTTTGCCATTTTCAAGTCCAAATTGTTTCAGTGGGAAAATAACTACTAACTACTCCAACGGCCTTTATAAGTTTTACTTGTATAAGAAAACAGACTACCTTACAGTTGACTCCAGAGGGGAAGACATGCTAGCAGAATCCTAGCATGGTTCGTTTGGCTATTCTCACACAAAAACTCAACAAAATAGCTACTGTTGGTCCATCTCCCCCCGTTAGAAAGGTCGGCTGCAATGTGTCAGTCAGCTACCAACATTCAATGCATTATAATGTTTTCCCACGGAGTCTCTGCAAAACAACTCGACATGCTACAAAGAAACCGGTAACAATCACAACAAAGCAAACTCACCTGTTACCCTGGGATGGCGCACGGATACAGCGCGCGCCCGGGCACAAGCCCTATTTAACGACAAGAAAAAGTGTTCTTCCGCAAGAAAACTTAGAAAATGAATTTTAACGAGGCTAGCAGCAGCAACAGCAGCAGCTTGACTTAGATGACTTTTGAGAGCTACTTTTAGCTTTGACTTGAGATTAAAATTCTTCATAAGCTATAAAATCAACATTTGTAACCAAAAGCAATTCTCACTGGTAGCGTGTGTGTAAAAAAAACAACATAAATTAGTTAACGAATGAAGAGCACGAATGCCCATGACCAACTTTTACTAATTGGACTACTCACCTTTGACTTTAATTAAGTTGGCATACAATCCGTCATTACATTGTCTCTGGCGCCCTCTGGTGATCAAAAGCTACAATAGCCTCTGAAAAGGAGTTGAAAGGTGTAAAAGAAGTAGACTAAGGTCTATTTTAAACTTTAATAACAGATTACTTGATAATTTTTACATTTAAAATGGAAGAATATATGCCAGAAATATTTGATATTTATTATTGATGCTTGTGGAAAACAAACAAAGCAAGAATTTATACTTTTCACAATTGGCACAGTATTACTGCTAACCACAGCATAAATGTGCTGCTCAATGTCAGATGCTATGAGTGGTCCAGGGCTTTTTCAATGAATCACTTAGGCCTTGTATAATGCATAAAATGTGACTAGAGGGAAATTACCTGTGAAATGTAATAACAAAGTAGTCAAATCTGAATGAATTTTTTTTACTCAACTCATTTTATACAGCTGCCATCCCATGTGAAATTGTAATCTTTAATCACAATATTCAAATAAATGCATACCATTATTTTTGTGATCTTCTTTACTGGGCGGACCATTGAGCATAACTCATTTACTTCCCAGTGGTTCAATTTTTACTTAAAACAATTCAGTTGCAGCTGCGAAGCAATATTGGCCAAAACTCCACTTACAGGCCATTATTAAATTTGTTGCTAGGTGGAAAAAGCCTATTCACATCCTTCCAGGAAGCACTGAAATCTATTTAGGTAATGCTGATTTCAGTGTCACAGCTCCTGCTACATAGATGGCTCTGAGAGTACCAGTGGGACTAAATGTGGCACCGTCCATCACCAGTCTCCGTCTGCAGTGGCACGCCGGGATCTTTATTGTCCCAAAATGTGTCTATACATTCCGCAGCAGCCAGTTTGGAGGTGAGATCCCAGACTGGGAGAAATAGTTCCACCACCAGGGTTTCTCTTGCCTCTCTATCCCTCCTTCACCTACGTCTGGCTCGCTGTAGCGCTCAAACTGGTTGTAGGGGTCAAATCGATCCCATGTGTCTACTGTGGGGAAGAGGTGGTCGTCGATATCAGGCTCCACAGGAACCTGAATGCACAGTGGGGGAGAGGGTCAAAATGGAGAGCAGAGGTGATGAATTAATGACCATGTATGTACATCAGAATTGCATTTACTGAACACCAATATGACGTCAAAGATCCAAACCTTCTCCAAGACAAAGTCAACACGTCCAGCCTTGTTCATGTGGTGAGGCAAATGAACCCTCTTGCTGACCCTGGAATAACCCTTAGCTGTGACTGTCAGGATGTGAGTACCAGGGTTCAGCAGTCGCCAGTAGTCTCCATCTTCAGCTGGAGTGAATGGTAGAAACAGAACAGGATGGCAAAGAAAACACACAGGACAGGCAGTGAAAGAAATCAAAGAGGAAGGGTATGGAAGAGCATGACAAAAGGAAAAAATCAACAAAATGTCAATTTTCCAAAGTAAATTTTGCAACTCATGCTTAAAAGTTATACAACGCTTGTCTAAAAGTTACAGATAACAGCAATAACAATATGCCATATAAAAATATATGCATCCATATGTGATAACATTTACCTGAGGTGACATCTTTCCTTATCCCCCTGACAGAGATAGTAGCACCTTTTATCCCATTGCCGTCAACATCCTTAACTACTCCCTTAATCCCTCGATGGACCTGTTCAGAGACAGGTAGCACAGTGGATATCCATATTAGTTATGTAGTTTTATCATGGCCTGAGTAATTACACACAATGAACTGTCTATGGTTGCTACACAAGGTGCCTACTTATTATTAATATCATTTTTATCATTTCAGACCTTTCTTGTCTTGGAAATTTTTGACTTAACAAATGGCTATTACTTTACACTTTCTTTGTCAATTATTTATGCCTCTACTAGCAGTTGAAATTAATAATATACTGTAAAAAAAAATTGTGATTCTTTTCTCAGGTTATGAAGCCTTTCTAGTCACTTACAGACTCCAGAAAACTGAGCAGGGCTTCCTTATTCCTCTTCCACTCTGGGTAAAGCTCGGCCTCAGAGGGGAATTTGTCACAGCCGAGCTCCACGGTAATCTCCAAACAATTAGTGTGCAAGTAGTTGAAGTCTGACATGCCTGCACGACATGTACATAATGAGTTCCTCACAAGCAACGTTAGGGGAAGAAAAAATAATTTATAAATGGTTCTCTCTCTAGTTGGAAAAGTGTTGTATCTCACCACCAGCAAAACTGTACCACAGTGCCCCATTGATGATGCCCCTAGACCGGTAAAAGGAGGCTCCACACCTCTCTGTGTCATTATTTGACATGGTGGCATGGGAGTCGGCATAGGTACGAGCCAGCTGCTTGAAGACCTGAGCATGGGGACATCATTAAGCTGGGTGGACGGTGACACGGCGAATATTACAATCCAGCTGCACAGTTAAACCAAACTTTTTCAGCCATATGTATATCCATCAATTCAACAAATCTATCCTCCCTCCCTACCTGCTCATCTGGAGTGGGTGAGAACATCCTCTCCTCCTGAGGGTGTCTAGAGAAATCGAAGGGATAGGAGACCACCAGCTCCCCTCCGTGGAGGCTGGCAGACTGGACGAAAGGCAGTGACCTGATCCACTTCATCACTGCATAGGTCTCTGGTGCCACCTATAGTCCGAAGGGGAGAATTGGATTGTTTTGGGATCCAGGCTGAAATATCTAATGCAGATACTTCTTCATGAATGCTGGTGAATAAAAACTAATGCCCTCTTACCTTTCCAAACCAGTAGGCATCAGGGATTGGAATGTGGTCAATGCGGTAGTACCTACTGCGGCGATTCCGGTAGAAGACAGAGGTGAGGTCCGGAAAATTGCGGTTCAGGTCGATGTTCTGGGCGTTTGTCCGACCATTGGTCCAACCATTCAACAAGTGACCCTGAAACATTTGGGTTCAAGCAGCTAGGAGCATTAGAAAGTGTCAGAAAGTGTTATATTGAGACTGGCGATAATCCTGATGATGATGATTATGTGTAGACATTAGAAGGAGCAGTGAATATGTGAAGACAATGTTGAGTAAATTATACGAATATTAGTCAGGAATACAAGGAGGAGCATGTTAGACTATCTTTGTTAATTCTATTGTTAACATGTAGACAAGACCATATATCCGTCATGAGAATAAGTAGAAAATGGAGTGATAAAAGGAAACCATTATTCTTAATATTAGAGGTGGGCCGAAAATGCATTTAAATATTTATGATTCATCCATTCAAACTGTTACATATTATAAACATGTATATGTTGCCATATACAGCACAAATATACAGTTTGAGGCTTTAATTTACTCTTTTATACATTAAGTATGACATGCAATTCACAGTATATAAATATATTTAAAGCTTGGCCTACATAATAAAGTTTAAATTTGATCATATTAATAAAAGGTACAATATGCTGCACACTTTCATTAATGTTTTAACCATGTATGGATTGTGAATCGCTCATGCAGCTGATGTCAGACTAAAACCCATGCATATGAAATGCCTCTCTTGAGTGTAGCTGTGTGTCCCCATTAAAGAATTCAGCTACAGATTACTCTTTAGATTGCACATTACATACATGGACTATGATGATCTTCATTGTGGACCTCACAATGTGACCTGCATGTCCCCAGAATTTTAACAGTCCTTTGTCAAATGACTGCTACACACATTTGAGCAAACACATGATCAGTCTACAACATATAGCCTCTGCATGCAGAGTCTGTTAGAGTCTCAGTGACAAGGCCTCAGGCATCTGTGAATTAATGCACAACAGTTTGACCAAAAGCTGTACTGTACTGTACATTAAAGGCTGAAGAGATGACTCTGTAGAAGTCCAGCTTTCTCAGGCTTGACTCATTATCCATCACAACTGAAACAAGAAAACTGAGAAAAACTGGTCTCAGTTGTTCAGACAACAGTACACTATAATATACAACAGGATAAAAGAGCTGAGAGACTTCTACAGGGCTTGTGAAGTGATGATTAGTGCTGCATTTTCTGTTTAGTAAAAATAGGATACATGCAGTTAGTTCTCCCACTGCCAACTTTGGTATGAAAACATATTTTCAGGATTTTAATAGGCTCAAATTATAAATGTTTACCTTGGTTATATTCTTTTCATTTTATTTCTGCTTATGTTGAGATCACTGATTGGTTGATGGGTTTGTCTGGGAGTGGGAGGACCTGTTCTAGATGAGTAAGACTATGGAGATAGACAGACAGAGAGGTGGGAGGTGGAGGGCTTGAGTACTCTAACTTTCTTTCATCCAATTTGGCAACTCAGGCAGGACTGAGACATAGCAATAGTTAGTGATTCAGCAACCTTCCTAAATCATAATCTATTATTACTTTTCTTTTGCTTACTCTTCTTGGGTAAACTGCTATCTTAATACCAAAATCATTACAGTACCACCAGTCTTGACCAGTCACTAAGGACATGAAGTACAGCCTTAGAGTGGAGCAAAGGCTGTCCCTTATCCTTCAGCATAGGATAGTAAAAGTACAATGTTTTCTTTTCTAGATATTTCAGAATGAGCAGCCTCTATGTTCACAAAACTCACAACCAACCACATTGTCATAGGGTTGCTCAATGGTGTCCCATTTCACAACCCACAAACAACACTGTAAAAACCCTTTGTATTAAGAGTACCTCAGTCCTCCAACTCCACAGGTCAAGCTCAAAAGACCGAACAGACAGTGAATTGACAACGGATAATGGCAGTTTGTCTGTTTGACTGTTAACAATATTTACTTCCTGGTTGCTGAGCTCCGGGTCATTGCTATCCTCTACCTCTGAGGCGGCCAGTTCATAGCCATCGGGGTTCATGGAGACCAGAATATGGATACGGGTTGTGTTGATGATGGTCTGAATTCGCTGGTTCCCCAGAACGTACTCTGAACACAGGTACTGGGCCAAGTAGATGAGCAGCTGTCGGCCCAGCACCTCGTTGCCATGCATGTTGCCCACCAGCTTGATCTCTGGCTCCACTACAGTTCACAGACAGAATCAAACATGATTAAAGCTGTATTCATTGATTTTGGCCACTTTGGGGCGATGGAACAAGCTGCAAACACAATATTGACAATTATTCCTTTAGAAAGTTGTTGTGGCTGACGTGCAGGCAAACAGCTGCCTATAAACATTAGCCTTCATTTGGAGTCATGTCACTGGCCACCTAATGAATGTGTCCAATATTTACTCCCGTTTTATCTCTGTTTTGGTCTCCATCACCTGCTGGGGATCTTGTCTGCCTGTCTGGATCTTTGGGTGCTAAATATTAGCTTGGCTGCTTGGTGTTGAGCAGATAAGTTGTGTCCCAATTCAGAGGCCACATCCTTCAGGGGCTGTATTTGAAGACCGGGCTGTCCCATTTTGAAGGCTCCTTGAATTTGGACACAGTGTACACTGTGATTAAATCAAATCAATTTAAAACAATGAGCTGAATGGCACTAAACACTTCATAGAACTGAGTTAGGTTATGATTATGTGTGGGTTTGTCACTATGAGTGACACCTTTCACAGTAGTACTTTGATCCAAGGTTGATTTAAAAACCCCTTGTGTGGAATTTCTCCTGTTAACATATTATTGTCAAATTATCATTATAACTAAAAGCAAATACGTTTGAGACAACATGTAGCCTCTAACTCGGCATTGTTAGTACTATTGTCTTCCCATAAACCACTGTTGTTTGACTGTTTTACATTGATGTTGCATTGGGCTTCAGATGTTTCTGTTCCCTGGATGCTAAAAACTAAGCACACTGGCAAATTAACAGTGTAATCTGCAATTTCCAATACATCATTTCAGAGGCGGTAGAGTCATTTGCAGTAACTCTGCAGACAACAGACAGGAGGAGCAGAGTAACAGAGTGGGTTCAAAGACCACAGCTCCCAGTAAGTCCGGTATAAACACCAGTAAAGTTTTACAGCATAAGTGGTAGATAGAAGACGAGATGAAGCAAATCGGCGTTTATTTAGCAGGATAATGTTGTATAGACTAGCTTTGTTTTCTGTTCTGGTTTCATCAGGTATTCTAATACACTATTTTAAGTACTGACAGTGTGTGTGATATGCTCAGATCTACAGAATCTTATTACAGAAACATCCAGTGAAGGAAGAAAAACGCACTAGAATTCAAATATGTCTGTTTCTGTATTTACTGCTGTACTGTCCAGTTTGAATTCTAATCTTTTACTCTCTGTGCTAACCTGCAGTTTTAGAGTCATATGGTCATTTCTGAGACTGTAGCTACTCTGCTGTTGTAATTGTGATTTGTATGAAAAGGTTTTTCTCATACAGGTTTTCTTCAGAAACTACAACAATAAAATGCAATGGTTTGACTATGTGATGGTGTGACTCCAGATGGGTTTTGGTGGACCAGTCTCCCACTCCGTCTCTGAATGCAATAACATGTCAATGCGTGTTCGCAGACGGAAAATTAAGATGACAAATTTTGCATATGATATGAATGACACAACAAAGGGGAAGTGAATGGAGAGTTATAAGAATAACGTAATCAGAAGGCTACACTGCAGTTTCTTACTCACGTAGCTCATGCTGTCCAGGGTTGTTGGTGAACTCAATAACCAGCAGATCCCTGCCCTCGCTGCTGCGTCCGATGCTGTACACATGAGAGATATGGGAACACTTGGCTGCTGTTCTCTTCAGTAAGCTGTACATCTGGGCATTGGAGGTGTAGGTGAACTGGATGATGGTGCTGGGTTCTTCAGGAGAGAGGCTAGACATTGCCAGCTCTTGTCTGGCTGGAGGAGGGATACCAGGATTTAGGGTACTAGAGAAGAGTGCTACGTTTGTTTCACAGTCCAAACAGTACAAAAGACAGTGGGACGCTTACCTTTCATCCCTGCCAGTGGGTCAAAGCAGCCCTCTTGGTCGCTGGCAAAGAAGCGGTCACAGTCGAGAAAGTAGGGCCAGGCCATTTCGATGGCCTCAAAGGCATGGATACAGTCCTTCCTCAGAGCCTCGCATGTGCTGCGGCATGGTTTGATCATCTTGTCATCCTGGCAGGGCGAGGCGAGCACCGAGCAGCCTACGAGACGTATCTCAGGGGAGCACTCCCCATTGAGCAGGCCATGGATGACACTCAGGAGGAGGTACTCTGCCCCTGATTCAGCCTCCAAACGACTCCGGTGGCCAAGGATGTTTGGGTATATGGTTCTAGAGCGGCAGCGTTTTAAAAGCAGCTTTTAAACATGATGCTCACAGTCAGATGTCAAGAACTTATGAAGAAAACTTAAAATGCTTGTATGGTTAATGTTTTGAGCTGGCGCTGATCTCCTCGCCCACATTAGTACCAACCTCTATGACCTACCTGGAGTATTCCATATCATTGCAGTAGCCCAGGTTCAGCTCTGTACAGGTAGCTGAGGGGAGAGAGGCGGCATGGGAAGCAGGTAACTCAACTTTTGAAAAAGGTGTGTTTGCTTAGTTAATAGTTTACTAAGTAAATCACAGCTCTTCTGTAGTTGTTGCAAGGGTACTGCTGGGTCTAGGACAATTTTTATAAATAGCTCAATGTCTTTAGGGCTTGTGCTTAAAAATGTGTATCTGTCACATCTGTAAGAGTAGTGGTAGAAACACTATCATGCATTACAAAACTACTGAACCTAACTGATGTAGCACCTGATGTTTCAAAATGGAAAAAAAAAGCCAGTGTGGGATTTTTGAAGCTCTATAAACTCTGCCGCTCTGCCGATTGAGCTCAAGGGCTGCAGCTGCGATTCCCCTCAGACTGACTATATGGAGAGGAGACCTGTTTCATCTTGCAGCAGCACTTGGTATTTCAAACACTTTCCAGCCCTGAAGGTCAGGTTGTGGCCTGAAAATTCAACTAAAGGTCTATTTCAAGTGGACAGCCAAGGCCTGATGTAACAGTTTAGACAGATGTGATCACATTTTATACTAATATGCCATCATAAATGCGATTTATTGCAGGCAATCAAAGTTGCATGAGGGTCAAGTTAATCCACCTACGTTTTTCATCATGTACGCTGTTGCTGCATCTTCCTGTGAAAGAGAACGAACCAAACAGTTAACTTCAGGAAACATGAAAACATTGGTGGGCCACAAATAAAACGCTAGGAGGCGACAACTTCAAAAGCAACACACAACCCACAGCCACCGGGGCTCTGCTGACTGTAATCACCGTTTATGACAAACGCTGATGTGGTTCGGAAAAAAAAACAGCAGGTGACGGTGTGTCTACACCATGAAGTAGACGAGCCTGCTAGACTGTAGACCCCGCTAATATTTACACCAGAGTGCGTGTTGTGCAGTCACAGGGCTGCGTAACAGCTCTGTGAACTGTTTATGGTTGATAGTAACCGGAAGTATTCCCTTCTTTTAGTCTGAAATTTCCACATTATCCTTTCAGATGTAGTCATACTTTAGGTTGAGTATACGCGTCAGCCAGCATGCTCTGGCTTCGCCATATTAGTATGAGACAGTTGTTTAAACTGAAGTGATCTTACCTAGAAACTCGTCCCCCGGCGCACAGCTCTGCTGCGGGACGCACCAACAACTTTTCGTCAAGGAAAGAAACAGCACCAAAAGTCCTAAATGCATGTTGTAGTGCAGTGAGCTGCTTGTCATCGGCCGTGTGTGATGTGGCAGAGTGTGTTTAAAGCTGCAACTTTTCCGTTCTCTTGGCTGGATGATAATTACCACCCGCATCACGGAAACCTCCTTCCTTTGTCTGCGCGGAGCATCCCTGACCCGAAAAAAGTGCGGCGCGCCAGGATTATGGCTCGCTGCTGTGCGTTACGAGCGAGCGCCGATCATATTTCACTGTTCTGGGCTGTGTGTGTGTGTGTGTGTGTGTGTGTGGGAACACGAGGAAGAAACGTGGCTTGTGGGGGTGGGAGTGAGGGAAGTTCATGCCTGTACTGTTTGACATAACAGGGCTGCAGAGCTGTACACCAATTAAAAGCAAGAATAAATTCCTGCACCATTAGTGTGTCTGTGAAACCTCATCAGCCATCTCATAGCTTTTGTATTCTTAAAATAATCATATATTATTAGGCTTTCACAGGGGCTATGTCTATAGCAGTGTTTCCCAACATAAGGGTCAGGACCTCACAGAGGGTCCCAAGATGAATCTGAAGGGTCAACATACGATTAAAGGAACAGTAAAGAAGAAATTGTTTTGTTCTAATTTTTTGCTTTTTTAAATCTCCAATTAGAATTGTTTGAACAGCTTCAGCACATACACATTAAGATCATAATGTGATTAAAGCAAAACATTTGGGAACCACTACTATAACACAGCTACATTTCAAACATCCAACAGTATCACAACATTCGCACACATGTAATGATGTTCTACTCGGATAGTGGACTCATAGTGTGTCTGTGGCAGTGGAGTTTATTATTTAATCTGTGTTTTTGCTATTACATCTTCACACCACTTTACGTGTTAAAAATGGCACTCATTAACACAAACTTTCACATTTTTCCAGTTTTGGACTGACACATGAAGACCACTCCCTGACAAATTCGAGATTTCTTTAAACATACATTTACATTTATGATAATAATAGTGCTGTGGGTTTCATGTGGTGTATCCTTGGCAATGCCTCAGCAGGCAAACTGATGGGCCCTGGAAACTGTCTGTAGAGTCCCAACGAGCCTTTGGCACACATCAGAGGCCAGAGAGTGTACAGTTCTCCCAGTGGACAATGCAGTGTCTTAAACAGTCACATGGTCCAGCCCTCTGTTAAAGTGTCCTTGAGCAAGGCACTGACTGCTTTCCATCTGCAGGGCATGTGCTTTTTACAGACCCTGACCTCTGACCTTCCTGCAGAAGGGTGTTGAATGATTTAAACATTAGCACATGGAGCTCAGGTAATCCTGGCCATGCAGTTGTCCTCCATGGTGTCCAGTGTGCTGCTTGTGCTGTGGGCAGACAGTGAGTGCTGATTCTTCCCCAGAACCCGGCTGATAACACTGACCAGGACCTTCCGGTACTGCAGCCGCAGCAGACAGTAGACAAATGGGTCACTGGAAGCCTTGGCGTAAGACAGACATTTGGTGGCAATGCCCAAATACCGAGGGATGTGCACGGAGGGCGACAACGCCACCAATCTGCAGGAGGAATACAAGCAGAAGTCGTTAATCGTGGTGATCCTGATGTACTGAACATGGAAATCCGCTTCTCTCATGCCATCAACAAAAACCACCATGTAAGTATCTCACAATTATGACTCAAAATTTCATCATTTTGACATAGCATTTCATAACTTTCCATGATTCTGCAAAAACACTTGGTAGACATGTTTTCAAGTGGAGCAGTGGGCCTCTACAGTGAGACTGTTCTCCATGAAGAACTCCAGCATAAATCATTTCAGCAAGGGCCCTAAAACGACATGTGACAAGGCCTCTCGACTTTGACATGGGAGAATGGTGTTCATTCAAAACTGACAGTCGACATCATTATTGTATTAAAATCTTGTGTTGGAGAGGTGTTGATTCAACTTTAGAACCAAGTATTACAGAGCTCCTGTACTGAATAACATTCTGGTTTTCATGATACTGTGTCTAGCCTCCGTCAGGAGTTATCCCACAAAAAAACATGGTCCATATAAACCCATTATTATATCATAAACACACCAGACACAGGGAATATGATCAGGGCCATTATTGTAAGAGCATCTGAAGACAGACGAGTCTCACAGGAAGTTAACCAACAGTGAGCCACAGCAGGGTGTTACCTTGTTATAACATAGGGTGAAAAGCAGAGGATGAAGGAGCCGATGAAGATGCAAATTTTTTTAGTGGCGCGTTGCCTCCTCTTCTTCTGTTGTGCTAGACATCTCTCCTTCACACTGACAGACACAGAGAAAGATCAATTCATGTCTGACCCCACAGACAACATAATAACAATTTAGATCATTAGCATCACAAAAAAGGTTTTGTATAGCCTTTAAAATAAGTGAAAAATGTTCTCCATTGAAACGAGTCAAACAGACCTGGAAACACAAACAACTCAGACTCTTGAGGTCTCTTGGACTGAAAGTTTAATCTCCAGTTTACTTTACCTGGGGTGAATATCGACCAGCAGAAGCAGAGTCTGCACTGTGATGACATCTATCCTCTTGCAGTGGGACCTGGCCACTCTCAGAACTTTCATGTAGGCGAAGCACAGGACGAGGAGGCAGAGAGCAAAGCTGCTGAGGTGAAACAGCACCGTGAAGGTCGCGTAGACGGGCAACTGCGACCTTTCCCCCCCGTCCAGGTGAACGGTGCACGAAGCGTAAGTGTGGCTGTATCCTCCCCAGTCCATCAGCAGCTGGGTCAGAGAGAAGGTGAGAGAGTGCAGCCACGAGTATGCCACGATCAGAAAAGCATCTCTGTAGCGCATCTTGCTGGAGTAACTCAGGGGAAACACCACCGCTATCCACCTGTCCATGCTCAGCGCGGCCATGCTCAACATGGTGTTAATGGTGAGGAAAGTCTCTGCAAAACTGACGCCTTTACAGAAAGAGTCCCCGAAGGGCTTTGCGCTTTTGGCCACCCCGAGAAAAGTGGAGGGCATGTTGATACCGGCGAGGAGGATGTTGGAGAAGGAGAGGTTCAGGACGAAGAGTCCGGGCACATGGGATCTTAACTCGGTGCTCTGGGTGAAACATAGCAGCACTGACACATTTGTCAACAACGAGACGACAGCTATCACCACAATGGACACTTCCAGTAGGAACTCCGGGATGCTCATCTCTCGAGGCTCGGCTTTAGCGGCAGTTGTGGGGACGATACTGTGGAGAGTCCGCCATGCTCTCTGCTCGTGCCCCCCAGCAGCTGTGAAAGATGCTCATTCTCCGGGCGCACATGCCAGAAGCGCGCTTGTGAGCACGAGACACGCGGAGAGAACTGTCCAGTGCTGAAATTCCCAAACAAACCTCGCTGTCAGTGGCATGGGTTACTTTTTAAACCCAATAAATGTCCCTGCAATTACATTAATGATGGTGTTCTTTCTCCCCTCCGGTGTAAAATGACTGTTGTTTAGTCCAAAGTGAAAAGCTGTGGAAATGATGACTTCAGGTTCCCAAATGCTCTCACTCTCTCTGTTTACTCTCGATCATGCGCACTATCCAGCGCCTCCTCTCTCGTTGGCAATGCCGTGCGCCCTGCACGTGCAGTCGGTAGCTGGCTCATGTGACGCTTGAGCAATATTCATGCATGCAGTTAATATCAAACATGGGGGTGTCATGGTGTTTGCACACAAATTCCACTTTTCCGCCCAAAAAGATGTGTTGTGTTTTTACACAGATGACCAGTGTAATAGCCGGAGAAAGGGACTGTATGTGGCACTGCTTAAAATCTGACAAATATTATTAATTTGTGGTGTGTATGTGCATCTGTGTACGTAGGACATTAACTATTTTTATCCAATATTTGTATCCTATACTATATAATAAAAATAGTATGTTTCCTTTAAACGCCTTGCAGTGGATCAACATTTGAGCATATAAGCACAGTTAAGCTTTGATCACAGTGACAGATTTAGGCCTCCCTTCCCGAAACATCAGGTGAAGCACACACACACACATACACACGCGGAATCACTTGTCTCCATAGCAACACCAAATCTCTCGTGGCTTCATCACTCTTTGATTTGAACTTGGTCTTCTTTAGCACTGATTTGTGTTGATCTCCCCTCAAATGCCCAAAAGAAACCATTTGCCACAGCACATTCATTTCATTGCTCTTGAAAATATCAGACACTGTGTTAGACATTATCTACATTACAAATGCAGGTGTGAAGAGAGGGAAGGACAGGGGAAGTGTGAGAGGAGGGATGGAACCCCAGGCTGAGAGAAAAAATGGATTAAGGGGGAGGAAGAACATGTGCAGGAGGGAAGGATGGGAAAAAGGATGATGGTATTAACCTACACTTTACCTTTCCAGAATGTCTTACATGTAGCTACTGTCAGCTTATTAATGCATCTTCTAAACTATTATTCTAACCGGTTTTAATCATAACATTAAGGGGAAAAATCACCTTTCACAAGCTGGTCGAAATGACATTGCAGAAATTATTTGTGAATCTGTGGGTGTGTTTCTGTGGAAGATTTAAAAGCCTAAATAAAAACAAATCCAACAAAGAAACTAAGTAAATAATTCAATGAAAAATATATGTCAAAAAGACAATTATTTAGCTTTTTCATTATGACAAGAAATTCTGTGATTGAACAGTTAATTTTTTTTTTCATTTTGCCATCGACAAAGTGTCTCCATCTCAAAAGAGGAAAAGCTTCCTCTCACCTGCTCCCAGCCAGAAACCTAGTGATGGCAGAGAAAACAAAATACAAATAGTTCCTTTAAAGACAAAAGCTAAATAACTGTCTTTTTAGCAGGGTTTGGGTTAAAATGACTACATTGTTAAGGTTGTAGTTTCTACTGTAGTTTCTTGGTCACTAGATGACATTCTCACTTAAATGTAAACAAACAAATAAACATACTGATCCTGTCATTCCAGTATTTCACTTTATTTCTTTGTTTGTTTTCATTTTGACACTTGAAATCTTCTGAAGTTTTCACCTCTGTAAGCATGAGTGTGCTTGTGTGTGCAAACACGTGGGCAGCTCTTCCCTCAGTGTGTACACATTATATATGTTTGACTATGGGCATAGAGGTGGGCTGTGTTGCTTGTCTTCTTTAGCTCCCCAGATGTTTTTTAATCCCTGCTATCCTCAAATGCATCACTTGTATTCAAACATCAACGGGTTCTTAGAAGATATATGCAGTAATACACCCAATAGTATGTTTTTTTTTTTTTTTT